CAAGTAGTGCAAGTAGAAAAAATAGGAACCACCTTTGGTAGGAAGGTAACAGCATTCTGTGCGCCTTCGGTGTTTAGTCATGCTGGCCACATGACCACGGGGACGTCTTCGGACAGTGCTGGCTCTTCAGCTTTTAAACAGAGATGAGCACTGCCCCCTAGAGTCAGGAACGACTAGCACATATGTGCGAGGGGAGCCTTTACCTTTATGCACTATTTATACAATCTCCATAACAGTTATTTCAAGCTAAAGACATATATATTCATCTGAAAGTTGCTGTTTATTTCTCTTGTAACATCCTTCATCTAATAAAAATAAAATTAGTTGTGATTAACAAAAAGATAAGGTTTTAAAACTGGCAGGTATGCCCCACAACTACAGGTGAGTGGAAGAATGAAACAATAATACCCCAACTGGATGCCCAATGTGCTTCTGTAAAATGCAGGAGAGAAGGTCATATGGAGACAGTACATTTTCCTGAAGAACTGATGACAGGGATGGCACAGTGATTAAAAGAGACAGGTGAAGTAGCCCTTTCCACTTCTGCCTGTCCCAAAAATAAAAATACATCTGGTTGCTTGAGATCGTAAGTCAGCAATCATCACTTCAACAGACCACATGATTTAAACATTGTTCTAGTGTCTTCATGACACTCAGCTGAAGGAATCAATTCCTGAAACCCTCTGAAGCAACACTTGGATAATCTGGTCGTTTTTTCTAGCTGTTTCCTTCAGCAGAACAGGATGCTTTATTCCAGCTCTTTGGGAACAGGTACCTGTGTGGGAATTGTAATAAAATGTATGAATTGGAGAAGGGAATAGCCAGAGAGAAGGCTTTTAAATTATATAAACAGCATATATGTTGTAAAAGACACAGTAAAATTGAAAACAATTTCTTGACATACTTTCTGGCAAAACATCAAAGCAGCTCTTATGCAACAAAATATACACTGAAGATAAAATATTTTTCTTCAAAGTAACTTGGTTGCAGAGAAATACTGTTCAGTAACCCAGGATTTTGCTGTTCCAAAAGTAAAACATTTACTGTAGTATCCCACACCAAACGGTGTTTCCACCGTACTACAAAGTGCCTACTGAATGCAAGTAATATAATAAATCAGGGACACAAGAGTTTGGGAACAGTTTTATCACATTTTATGTATCAGGTAAAAATCCTTAACCTCCTAATAATTGTCATCATTTTTTGTGTGTCAGATTGAGTTCAATGCAATTTTAGGTAATGATTAAGGTTTTCCCCCCCAAAAAATCTGACAAACAAAAAATTGTGAATCCTGTCTTAAGTTTTTCCCACTTGAAAGTAGAAATGTATTGTTTCTATGTGTATTTAAATAAATTGTAAATTTTGAGATTTTTTTAAAAAAA